ATTAATATAATAAGTATTTACTTTAATTTAGTTTTAACTGAACTTGATGTTTCTGTATTGCGGTGTACAAAAAAGAATAAATAAATAAATAAATAAAGGCTGTGACCAGGCCATCAATGCAGTACTCTGGAACAGCTTAAAGTTCAATGTTTTTATTGTAAGTTCTACAAGCTCTGGGTCTACTACCATTAGTATTGACTTCGACAACTTGAAGTCTTTGAAGCCGACAATCCCAGAATTTGATTCTAGAAGGCTCTTGTATGAGGACGAGGTCGATGTTGTTCTCTGTAGTGCAAGCCTACACCATGGCGGAAGTAGCTGCTGCATGGTGAAGATTTGCCAGGAGGACCCTCGTCCTACCCTTGGGGTTAGCCGTTTATAAGAGTGGGGGTAGTGGCCGTTTTCACCTGCTGAGGGCGAAGACGTCTTTTACTTGAAATAATACTAGTTTTTTCGGAATTTATCGCGTATATTTAACTTTTTAAATACCCGACGTTTCGAACGCTTTACAGCACTCATGGTCACGGGCAGGACTGAGATGTTCAACGTCCATATGTCATAGTTAACCGCGGTTACAATAGATTAAAATTTAACTTTTGTTCCGATCTATACGGTATGAACTTATGGTATCTTGAAGTCTTGCAGTTGTATGCTTGGGTTGGGATTTAATTTTATTTATTATAAGATTCCAAGCAGATGGTAGCATCCAGCCATCTTCTCTATTGAAGTTAGGATGTTTTTTGATTTCAATAGCCTCGCGAATCATCCTTGGAAGGAATCGGTGTTCTTTAGCGAGGATTTGTGGTTTATCAAATCTGATGTAGTGACGGGGGGCGATCCTGTACGTGTTCACAGACTGCAGACTTCCCGGAGAGTCGATTCTTCACATCAGCTATATGTTCTTTAACGCGGGTTTTTATTGATCTTTTAGTTTGTCCTATATAGGAGGTCTCTCCTACATTCACTAGTTGTTTTAAGTGTGCTATTTGTTGGGTCGTTTTTAACCTTTTTATAAGTACTTACATCCGACAAAAGTTCTTGTATTTTAGAATAATAATCTGACGTATCCATGACTACCGTGGCGTTTTCCTTATCTGCGCGGAGAATCGTAAGTGCTGGTTTATTGCGTAGGTTCTTTAACGCTATAAATTCGTCTTTGGGAAGATTCGGTTTAGGCACTGAACATCGACCTAATATAGATGAAATGTCTTGACGTATCGCCTCCGAATCTTCTTTCAGCATATTGTTTTTAAATAAACAGTCCACGACACTACAGATAATTTCTTCGTACGGTAATTTGCAGGGCACGGCAATTTGAAACGTCGGGTAATTAAAAAGTTAAATATACGCGATAAATTCCGTAAAAACTAGTATTATTTCAATGTGTAATAGCAAAGTTGAGGCCTTTGGATAAAACCCTAATTATTAGAGGAGTCACTGACAAGAAGCCGGCCACAATGGAGCGTGTACCTGCTGTACTGCCATGTTAGAGGAATCACTAACAAGATTGGCTACATCTTGAAGCGTGCTTCCATCAAAACATACTTCAAGCCGCTGAAGAAGATTGGTCAGTTTTTACCATCAGTCAAGTGTAATGTCCCTCTGCAAGATGCAAGAGCGTACAAGCTTGATTGTGAATATGGTCTCTCCTACATAGGACAAACTAAAAGATCAATAAAAACCCGCGTTAAAGAATATATAGCTGATTTGAAGAATCGACGCTCCGATAAGTCTGCAGTCTGTGAACACGTACAGGATCCCCCCCTGTCACTACATCATATTTGATAGACCGCAAATCCTCGCTAAAGAACACCGATTCCTTCCAAGGATGATTCGCGATGCTATTGAAATCAAAAAACATCCTAATTTCAATAGAGGAGATGGCTGGTCCATCGCTTGGGATTTTATAAATATTTCCTAGTAAACTGCAAGACTTATATGTATTAAATCGGAAAAAAGTTAAATTTCTTGGTAACGGTTAACTTGATTGGACGTTGAACATCTCAGTCCCGCCCGTGACCATGAGTGCTGTAAAGCGTTCGAAACGTCGGATTTTATAACTTCGGTTTTTGCGTATTTAAAAAGTTAAATATACGCGATAAAATCCGTAAAAACTAGTATTATTTCAATGTGTAGTGTTCGCGTAAATATAAGAAATCGTTACGTCTTTTACTGGCATCGGACCGGTTTAGTACCGGAATTGAATCTTTTGGCACTATTTCTCGTCGCTGATGTAGAGGGATGTAGGCTTTTACATCTGGTACAAATACGAAAAAGTTAGTTACGTTTACGTTAGCAAAAACCGCAACCGACAACAATGCTACATCATTAAGCTGAGTCGAATGCTTTGCCGTAGCCGACCATATGTATTTGTATTTTTAATGTTATTACGTATTTTCTAATTTCTAGTGTATGTTGTGACGAATAATTTCATTAATTTGTTCATTATTTCATTAATTAGTTCGTTATTTCTTTCATTTTTTTATTTCACCTTTTATGTTTTCATCACCCTCACAGGTAATCATGGAGTAATGAATTCTCTTAGCCGTCAACGTCAAAAAATAGAAACATCATGTTAAGGCTTATTGTTTATATGAAAATCATTCAGTCACTTTCGATGAGGCAAGGATTGCTAGATATGATTTAAAATCGATAAGGAAAATCACACTTAATTCTACAAGCTCAATGACTCGACTAGGTATAGTACAAACATGACTTTTTGTCGGGTACAATTTAAGAAAATTTAAGATGTAAATTTTGAACATACTTGTAAATTATTTTAGTTACTTGTTGTGGAAGGGCGAGACGAGTCGAAACGAGATTTGAATGTACCTATATAGAACTCATGTAAACTAAACAAGCAAGAAAAATACATATTTTGGAGGTTACACGCCATTTTGCCAATAATTGATTTAGGAAACACGCAAACCCAATCATAATTCTTATCAAAATATTAACTAATAAACACTTATGGATTATTCGTTTCCTGTTTTAGTAGATACTCATAAACCAGTCAGTAATAAACAGGAACCATTTAATTAAAATCTTAAAATAAATATTAAAACAAATGTAACACGATTTATTTCGATTAGTAGTGACCAGTTTATGGTATACTACTAATCAAAATACATCGTTATTTTTCAAAAATTTACCAAATTTTAAACTTAAGTTCAAATACGTAAATAATGGTATACCATTATTGCAGTTTTTGAAAATACGAGTAAATAAGGCTTCCACTTTTATTTGAACTTATCCCAAATTGAATGTGATTTATAGGCACCAACGTTTTCGCCTGCCGATCGACCCTTACGAATGTACTGCGTACGCAGTAAAATCACTTAAAATTAAAATTACAATCCATTTTGAATTTAAAAGATAAAAAATACGGAATGTTTGATTTTTTTTATTAATTTTTTTTCACCATTTGTCTATATTACTTAGCAAATTTGGCCGGTTATTTCAAAATAGTCAAGTATATATTTGAGAGTAGTGACAATGAAATTCATCACACGTAGACATATTTAAGTAGTCCGGAAAACACATTTCCAACGCGCAAGTGCGAAGTGCGCAATCACAATAAAACTATTGATAGACAATGAATGAATATTTTTAACGAGCGGTCGAGAGTCCCGCAAGGTCGCCCGCTAGGTCCGGTGTGTCAAGTGTACTTGAGATGAGAAATGAATAGGTAAACATGGTCGTATGTCACATCGTTGTGTAGTTGTTTGAGATAGTTTCTATATTAGTATGGCTGCGTTTAATCGGTAACAGACCTTGATAATTTTTACGAAAATAAGATATTAATCTTCTTTCTCTAATTATATAAAAGGGACCAAATTTTGTGCTTTTTGATTGGTTACTGAGAAACGCTAAATAAGGATACAACTGTGAAACCTATTAAACTAAATATAATTTTTCATTCAAATATATAATTACGAGCAATGTTATTTCATCATTTATGGTAATTGCAGGAAGGCGCAAATACTCACGAAGACTTACAAGACGAGTACGTGTAGAATTATTTGTATTGTATGGAGTTATGTTTGTAGGACGTTAATGTGTTTTATGCCACTTATTACATCAAACAGTGGCATCAATTAAGTAAGAATAAACATTACTTTATTAAGAAGTACAGTGTTAACATTTGTACTCTATGTCAGATTTTTAAGTCAACTAATGTACATCACCGAGTAGTGACAGCGTAAGAAAATTTATTGCCCCGTTTAGTACCGTTCGTGTTGTTATGGGCTACGATAGGATCTTGATAGAGTTACTAATATATATATATATATATATATATATATATATATATATAATATACACATACACTCTCTACTATGTAATACATATACTCTACTCTTGGCAGGTGGGTTGATGAGCGCCAAACTAAGGCGTATTCGTTATGTCATAGTAAAAACAGAATAGTAGGATCACTCCCGCACCGCGCGAGACTTAAATGCCTACTATTGCAGGGTTTTCACTGTCTTTTTGTTTAATAGCTAAGTCTGATTTAGTTTCATAAGTAGTTATAATACTACGTATCTATGCATCATATTTGTTAATCAATTCTTTAATTTCCTATAAAAAAAAAAAACAATGTTTTGCAAAATAATCCCGTTTTACAATAAAACAAATACGAGTAAATCAACACTGAGCATATGGTGGTGTATATATATATATATATATATATATATATATATATATATATATATATACCTATTAATAAAATCTAATTTACTTAAACAGACCCATATATTAATTTATTTTACAAAAAGAAAACGAAAAAGACTGCTAGCAAATTTTTTTAAAAGTCAACAAAGTCTCAAAGGTGATATTCGAAAACTTTGGATACATGTTTTTCGTTTTACCAGTCATGAATTTTATTATCCAATCACACAAAAGTTTTTTTAATCTCAACTTTTGATAACACATCAACTTATTTCAAGTACACTAACATAATAACGGTGTTCCCATTTCTAATTTTCTCATGTGGATTATAGTGCAGACATGTGAAACTCTGGACGGAGGTATAGGCAGCTGCATCAACGTGTTCCAGTGTGAGCCGTACTTCAAATTACTCAAGCAATCCAAAAGTAATCCTGCTGCTGTACAGGTCTTGAGGAAGGCGCATTGTGGCTTTGATGGCAACAATCCAAAGGTAATGATTTATAATATTTACTCGAAATATACACCGAATAAAACTAATTTTACTTTCGCAGCAGCTATATTATTGTAGCACGAATGGGTTTTCTCTACCGGTGATAAACTACGCTGTACGCTCTCAAAGAATACCAGCGAAAAATAGCAGCTTAATGCTGTTGTGTTGTGGTTATATGGTTATGGAAGAGAACCGGAGACCCTTTTTAATGGAAATAAGGCATTTAATCTTAATTCTCAAGGGTGACAACGCAATTGCATTTTGATTCTTAATTGAAGGTAGATATAGATTTCAATGGTCCTCAGCATCCAAATACCATCAGGTGGACTGTGTGGTCATTTGTCACCATTATTCTATAAAGAAGTCGTATTGGTGTAGCACGACAAGAAATAACCAGAAAGCTAAGAAATAAGCTTAGATTCACGGACGATGAATTTAGTTTATCTGAAAACCAGGAAGTGGTAGAGCCAAGCTGCCAAAAGCTATATTATGAGAAAGGAAGACGCTCTAACTGAATATCAGAAGTAGCAGCTTAATTCTGCTACGTTTCATATGGTGATTATAGAGAACCGGAGACCATTTTTATTGGAAATAATTGATTCTTAATCGAGGGTAGATGTAGATGTCAATGATTATCAACATCTATTTACAATTAGGTGGACTGTGTGCTCGTTTGTCGCCCTTATTTTATCAGATTCAGTGTAGCACGACAAAAATACACAGAGTTGAGGATAAAGCTTAAATTCACGGATTTAGTTTACCTGAAAACCAAGAATAAAAAGTCAAGGATATGGTCTTTGAACATCCATAGAATAAGCAATGCGGCCGATTAATCACAAGTGGCTTGACGCTTTGATCTCATCTCGTCTACGCTGCACTCATATTAATGTTTTGGAGTAACATAATATTTTAGTCAGTGACCTAATGCTGACATTAGAATCTATTTAATCTGTACTAACAATAAAATGCTTAGTCCGACGTGTATGCTTAACACGTTCAAACAAGATGGCTATTTAAATAAAACGTAACAAAACGCAAATCACGATTGAGAACAATGAGATGTCTGTTTTTTATAGAATATTGTGACAAAGATTTTTTACGTGGTAGAGACATGCTGCAGCTATATTAGTATTATAGTTGTAGCACGAATGGGTCGGTTCGACCGGAGAAGGACCACGCTTTCACGGCATACAACCTTAAAAGAGTAGCTTAATGCTGTATGGTGAGTGTAAAGAACCGGAGACCCGTTTTATAAAGAATAGTGTGTAAAATGAGCACACAGTTCACCTGATGGTAAGTGGATGCTGTGGCTCATAGACATGTACATTTATCTTCGATTAAGAATCAAATTGCAGATGCGTTGTCACCCGTGAGGACTAAGATAGAATGCCTCGTTTGAAGTAAAGAGAATCTCCGGGTCTCTGAATTAAACATACGAAACACAGCAGCATTGAGCTACTATTTTACGCTGGAATACTGTGAGAGCGTGGTCCTACCCCGGCCGAGCCGACCCATTCGTGCTACAACTAATATAGTCGCAGCGTGGCTCTGCCGCGTTTATCGCAATCGTTTTTACTGGAAAGGAGGCATTCCATCTTAGTCCTCACGGGTTACAACGCATCTGCATTTTTATTCGTAATTCGGGGATAGATGTAGATGTCTATGGGCCTCAGCAACCACTTACCATTACGCGGACTGTGTGCTCGTTTGGCACCCTAATCCTATAGAAAAAAGCTTTGAGCGTTTCTGTTTCAGTCTTAGCTATGAAGTGGCAGAGATAAAAAATCCATCGCCTCATTTTTTTTATTTTAATCGCAAGTTACGAACGAATTTACAGTCCACGTGATAGTAATTGGCTACTCGTACTGCAGTCTGTGTACATAACTACAAATTCGTTATCCCGTTAACATCTGAGGACTAAGATGGAAAGCCTTAGAGAATGTAATTATATATTATGTACGATCGCATTTTTTTACTGCAGTATTTCTAGTTTCTAAGTACCATAGTACCTATTCACTTACCGTCACCTAAGGGAGCCCAAATTAGGCTTGGATAAAAAATATCGATATATATATATCGTCGATATTTCTATCGCGATGTATCCATATTCGATATTTATTTTACATTATATTATATTATATATTTCAACTATCGAATTCGTATCAATTTCTACATATTTTAAAATGTGGTATTAATCGACAAAACATTTAGCAACGAAAGCATTCATTAGGCGGGGTCGTTTTTTCTCGTCGTCCAACCATCCAGTAATAACATATTCGGCTTTATTACATCATGCAAAACTTGAAGATATATCGACATATCGCAATATATATCGATACTGTTTAAAAATATCGATGTAATATATATCCATATTTTTAACATATTATTATAATATTATTAGTTACCATATCCTAAGTAGCAGTATCCTAAAAGCACTGCTATGTCCCAAGCTCCTTCAAGCACACTGCATCCATACTTCATTGTCTATAACGCCAGGCAAATACCTCACTCATCAAACCTTAACTAACAGGTCTGCTGCCCCAGCCACAGTATACCCACCGACCCGCCTAAAGTCGTGACACCCACGGAAGCCCCTGTAACTCCGGCAACGGAAGCCCCTCTGCCATCAGGCAAGAAGGTTGATGGGGACTACGTCAGTGCGTTGCCGGAGCCCCCAGTGTGTGGTGTCAGTAACGCCTCCTTCACCAGGGTGGTGGGTGGTGTTAATGCTAAACTGGGTAAGTATAGTGATAACTTCAATATCACAATAGTTAAGTACAACAAAAAAGCGTACAGGTACATGAAAAACCTGGAAAACCTGGACTGTTAGCTACCGAATAGCTGCTGTATGGTGCTGGGTTTTTTAAGCCGGCAACGCACCTGCAATTCCCCTGGTGTTGCAGTTGTTCATGGGCGGCGGTAGTCACTTACCATCAGGTCAGCCGTATGCTCGTTTACTCCCTCTCTTAAAAATGACGATTGGCGATATTAGAGACGCTTTTACTGGTAACGAGGCGTTTAATCTTAATCATCAAGAGTGGAAATGCATCTATATTTTGGTTATTAATCAAGGATTCACAGAATTCATAAGGGCATTCACTTCGTGGCTCCAATTGTTAAGCCTTTATTTTTTTATATATATATATATAGGATAGAGTGATAAACGAGCACACAGTCCACGTGATGGTAAGTGGTTGCTGTGGCCCATAGATATCTACATCTATCCTCGATTACGAATCAAAATGCAGATGCGTTGTCACCTGTGAGGACTAAGATGGAATGCCTCGTTTCCTGTAAAAAGGGTCTCCAGTTCTCTACACTCACCATACGAAACACAGCAGCATTAAGCAACCCATTCGTGCTACAACTACACTACTAATATAACTGCAGCATGACTCTACCACGTATAAAATTGTTAGGGCTATGTCCCCTATTGTTGAGCCTTACTGCAAGGACTTTATAGGTGGCGCCTGATCACTCTCCGGTCCTTTCACTCGCCGTAACCGAAGTACACCATAACTCAATAAACCAAGCCAAGTAATCTGGGTCGAGTGGCTTTCTTATAGAGAATAAGTGTGACAAACGAACACACAGTCCACCTGACGGTAAGTAAATGCTGTGGCTGTTAGACACCTTAATCTAGCCTTAATAAGAATCACAATGCAGATGCTTTGTCACCATGAGGACTAAGATGGAATGCCTCGTGTCTAGTGAAAAGGGTTTCCGGTTCTCTACACTCACCATACCACAGACAACAGCATTAAGCTGCTATTTTACGCTGGTATTCTGTAAAAGCATGGGTCTTCCCCGGTAGAGCGGAACCATTCATACTACAACCATAATAAGGTTATGGTATAACTCTACCTCTAACGACCATCTTAGATAATTATCGATACATAGGTGATTTCCCCTAGATGGTGCAATTGTGATACAAAGAACGTGGTAGCCAGAGTACGAGGAGGCTGTGGGGGAAGTAATGTTTAGTATTTTTTTTTAAGTTTTTTTTTTAAGTTTTAATCGGAAATTATCAACATCACTAGACATTATATTGTCCTAAGTTGAAACGGTACAATCTTATATCGTACACATGAAGCAAAAGCTGGAATATGAAGTATAAAACAATTTCTAGGATGAGAGGTCGTCAAATAGACTTCAGTTACTTCTTAATTTGGATCCAGTAATCTCAACTTCAGAATGAGGTTATATGAACTAATAAACAGTTCGCCTGTCCTAGATTTAAATCAAAATTCAGATGTGTTGTGTAGATTCGGACTATAACCATAAAACAGCTGTAGCTGTAGCATAACTCTACCACGTTGGTCAAACACATTCACAGACAATTATCGATCTATAGGTGATTTCCCCTGGATGGCGCTATTGGGATACAAAGGACGTGGTGGGCAGGGCACGCGGTGGCTGTGCGGCGGCTCCCTCATCTCTTCGCGTCACGTGCTCACCGCCGCCCACTGCATACACGGACATGAGGATGACCTGTGAGTCTTGTCATATATATTACATACAATTAACGGCTTCGTAGTGGCTTTGGAATGAATTGCAGCGCTGGGGGGACGCGGGTTTGAATCTCACATGGAACAGGTATTTGTATTGCCGAGAAATAATTGTACCGCGTCTGGATTTTTGTCCCGGTGCAATTTATGTTTGTTACCTGCCTCCACTATACAGTTACAATTCTAGTGTAGGGGTAACGTTAAATTAAAAAAAATATCGGCAAACAACTAAAGCATGCGCGAAAATCAGTGTTGCCAAGTTGACGGGTTTCCCGTTAGATTTGACGGGACAGCGAGATTGTATGGTGAGTGTAGAGAACCGGAGACCCATTTTACTGAAAACGAGGATTTGTAAAGCATCTGGATTTTGATTCGTAATCGAGTAGATGTGTATGGGCCACAGCAACCACTTACCATCAGCAGCAGGACTGTGTGCTCGTTTGTTACCCTATCCTATAAAAAAAATAATTTGGAAATGGAAAAAATTAAATTATAATTCTATTCATTTTTTTAGTGTAAAAATACGAAAAAATGTGCAATATATTCTTATCTTCAAAATATTGAGAGAGTAAATTTTCATTTGACATAATTCTTTTAAATACAGCTCGGAAATTGTTTTGTAGTTGGTCGGCCAAAATGATGCGATATTGTTGAATATATAGAAAACTATCAACTACTCTATTTATTTCATTCTCTCTCTATACTGTTTGAGTCGCGTATCCTATGAAACTGTGATATCCTTGAAACTCAATAAGTTTTAGTTCGATAAAATGACTTTATTACCTAGAGCATGTAGTAGATGGCGCTATTACAAATCTCAAATGGAAAATGTTCGGTTACTAATTGATCTCACAGACTCAACAGAGTACTGGAGCCCGAAGTGATCCATTTAAATGATTGATCCGGATGTACCAGTACGCGTGACGAAATGTACTATAATTATTTGGTCACTAGAAATGAATGATTGATTCTTGCCTACCGTACTTGACAGGTTTTGACGGGATTAGAGTGTTCTCTACAATGGGAGCTAGATTTTAATGTTGGCAACACTGGCGAAAATATACAATAATACGGTGTCATTTGAGGAACGTATGTGACGCGGGGGCGGTTATCCACACAAATGAGAGGGGGAGATCTGTACATTAAACGTCATAAGTGCATAAGCAATAAGTTGTTGCCGATTATTATACCTATGTAGACATATATTTTATTTTTATTTATTTATTTCTTAACAATAAGTGACATTATAAAGAACACAGGTAGCTGCGGGTCCTAAACTAAGCGCAGCTTGTATCTCAGGACCCTGGCATGCGATACAAAACGGTTTGTCACTGGACCTCATTTACATCGAGATAGTGTTAATATTACGTGCTTGTCATCGGCCTTTAAAAGTAATGCTTCTAATACAAAAACTAAGGAAGTATTATTTTACTACATAAATAAATTTAAAATAAATAATAGCGCCTGCAAGAGATGATTCCGCAATAGTTGGAATAGGAATGCTTACGTCCGGATCTGGTTTTGTGTGTGTGTGTGTGTGTGTGTTTATATGTGTGTGTGTGTGTGTCTTATGTGCTATTTAATTAGCTCTTCAGTGTCATTATATGTAAGAGTGTACAGCATGTTCTTTAATAGGGTTTTACATGAGGAAAGTGGCTGGTCTTTAAGGTCAATTATTTTTAATACTTTGTTGTAGATGAAAGGATGTGAGAAGATGGGGCAACGATTGGTCAGGTTTGATTTTACGATTGGTACGGGGATTCTTAAAGTGCGTTTGCTTCTTAATTAATTATAGTCCGGGCGACATCTTACGGTTTTGTGCACTTTGAGTGTTACATTGTAAATAAACAGCTGTCGCACCCGTAGAACTTTAAATTCTTTATAAAGAGAATCTGTTTGTTTGTTTTATATAAAAGACGTTACCCCTACACTATTTTCCTGACTGGATTTTCTCCTGTATCGTGGGGGCAGTTTACAAACGTAAATTGCACAAGGACAAACATCCAGACCCGGAACAATTATTTGTAGGCCGTACAAATACTATATAGAGAATCTGTGGAGTATGTGAATGGCTTACTTAGGATTACTTTAATTAGTGCACGTTGAGCCCAATGTCATAAGTGCAGTCCTTCCAGCGCGGCCCCAAACACAAATACAATACTGCAGTATAGATTGGCAGAGTGCAAAGTATACCTGACGTATTATATCTACGGGAGTGCAAACTCGCAATTTTTCCATGATGTAAATAAACTTTCGCACACGGGAAGACAAATTAGAAATTTGAGTTGATGCTCAAATTTCTACGTTAGGTTTTCATCTATGATAATTCCAAGATATTAGGTTATTCTAGAGCGTGCTATCGGTTCACATTTGCAGCCATGCAGATTGATATAATCATTTTTGCAGTAATGAATTTTCAAGGGCGTAGCGGTCGGTGGACTTCTTCGTCTCGATTTGTAAAAGCATATGTATGTAGTCTTTTCCTTATTTAGTGTAAGAAGATTTAAGTTTAAGGACATAGCAATACGAGATAGGCCTTGTTCCGCGGTTATGTATACTCGACTCCAAGTCGTACCGTGAAATAATATGGTTATATCATCTGCGTAAGCAATTACATTTGAATTAGGCAAGTTTTGTTCCAGGATATCATTCATGTACAGGATGAAGAGAGTGGGTGCAAGGGTACTGCCTTGTGGAACGCCAAAATGAACATCCAGTTGCCTACTAGTGTAATTTCCTACTTTTACACATTGTTTTCTCATTTTTAGGTAAGTTTCAAACCATTGAAGTGTATTTCCCCTTACTCCAGCGGCTTCTAGCTTTTTAAGAGGAGGCCATCATAGACTGTGTCAAAAACTCGCGACAGGTCGAGAAAAACACCTACGCAACATTGACCATTCTCCGTGTGTTGTGATATCTAATCAGCTAGTGCTGCTACAGCATCCTCAGTCGATTTTCCCTGACGAAACCCATATTGCTTATCTGTGATTATTCGATTTTTATGTAGACAACGGACAAGTTGCTTATTCACTATCTTCTCTAGAATTTTCGATATTATACTAAGTAAAGCGATTGGTCTGTAATTTTCCGGCAAGGTCGGAAACACACTGCAGTTTTCCAGGATTCTGGAAAAACTCCCGTGTCTAGGCTTAAATTAAATATGTTAACGAGGGGAATAATAATATTATTGCGGGTCTTTTTAAGCAGTGTAGCAGTGACATGGTCTAATCCTGGAGAACTGTTGGTTTTTAGGTTATAAATAATTCGGCTCACTTCTAGTTCATTAGTAGGGTGCAGATAGAAAGAGTTTGGGTTAGATTTTGAACATCTGTGATTCTTGATTAGTAGGTCTTGAGTCGTGCCTAGGTTATTTAAGATTTTTTAGCGAAGGCCTCCCTTACGGTTGCGAAATGGTGATTACATTGGTCTAAGGATGAAGTTGGGTTGTTCAGATCCTTAATGAGTCTCACGGAGTGGTACTCCGATATATATTCATCTTATTAGCATTACTACTCTAATATAATAGCATCTACATCGCATCTGCGTATTGATACTTAATCGAGGATAAATGTGGATGTCTAAGGCCCACAGCATCCACTTACCAACAGGTGGACTGTGTGCTTATTTATCACGCTTATTCTATAATAAAATTTGAAAGGTTTCTTATTGTTAAAGGGAGAGAAATGAAACTAATATTATTCCAAAGGTATTTTTAATGTTTTAATAAGTACTTACTGTGTCATAGACGTACATAAAATGAAAAACATGCAACTATTGTTGCACGAAAAAACAAACATTCGGCAGGTAATAAAGTTTTGACGACTCCGTAGCGCATTGGCAAAGCGTTTAGTAGCGGTGCTGCAAGCGTGCGTTCAAATCCCGCTCGAAACAAGTGTTTTTTATAACATACAAGTGATTGTCATACGTCTGGATGTATGTCGTTGTACGATTTATGTATATAAACTGCCTTCATGAGAAAATCCTGCTGTACGGTAACGTTCAATTAGGTACTATTATTTTGTTACAATTTTTTTTATTATTCTAGATTTAAATTTATAGAAACGAATCAAGACTTGCATTAGTCTTAAGTGCTAAAACTCACATTTTACCGATCAAGTATTCAATGAGTGATAGTGGCAGACTTACATCATTGTTGCACAATTCAGTGAACGCGATCAATTTGTATTCATGATAGTGTTACGCGCTCAAGTCGACGATACACTAGCGCCATCTAGTGTCAGGAACGAGAGCGAGGGGAGCATTGAGAAAATGACATCACAAATCACTCAACCGACAGCGCCTAGTCGAAACTCGAACGCTCGGTACCTTGCGCGTGTTTACTTGAACATTCTGGATATTTCTTTGCTAATTTAAATAAGTAGGCGCTGCAAGATGCGATCGTGGTAGTGTTGATTTGGCGAAACAAGCGAAGCTTCGGAGCGGAATAAAGTGATTAAGTGTGTTTAATTATTAGTGTTTTTAACTTTAATTTGTGTAAAGTAAATTAAAGTGTTAATTTAGGTAATTTTATCGGCAATTTTTATTGTCACGAACCTCAAGCTCGTAACAATAGTATAAATTTATCTCAACCTTGATTAATAGAAGCGAGACATATTGAAAACTGAGATATGTCGTGTTTATCAGCCCCGAACAGCACAAAAGTTGACTTGAGCCCCTCCCAATGTAAGGAGAATTTTTTACAGTAGGAGGGGCTTCTTCCGATTGATGTAAGGAGCTCTCTTCTCTGACATGATAGAGCCACGCTGTAGATATATTATAATCGCAGCACGAATAGATCGGCTCGACCGGGGTAGGACCGTTCTTTCACAGAATACCAGCGTGAAACAGCTGCTGTGTTTCATAGGGGATGGATCTAGATATATATGGGCCACAACGTTTACTTATCATCGGGTGTACACCCCGACACATTGATACCTTTATTCTGTAAAATAAAAAAATAACAATCGAAAACTGATGGAAGTACA